TTATTGAAAATTAAAATCAAAACAAGACATACATTAAACAACAGGGGAGAAAAATTCCAAACAAAGAAAAATGGCCAAAAAAAAATGCAGCACTGGTGAAAACATGCAGATTGATTTGAGTATATTAATTCATGCTCACGCCATCAAGTATGTCCAGAATAAACTCCTTGTGACACAACAGTAATCACTCTTAATTTTCAAACACCTAGCTGCTTGCAATTTGCTTCTTAAACATTTTTCTTTTCTAGTCACTCACCAAAAATAAATAAATAAATAAATAAATAAATAAATAAATAAATAAATAAATAAATAAAGGAACAAATAAATATTTTTTAATTAAAAAAATTCCTGTCACAAAACCAACAAGCTTTTCTAAATAAGCGTTTTTAATAAAACAAAGAAATACTTTAGGGGAGAAAATGTCTTCACTTTGCTTGAATTAACGGAGCCATCACCATAGTACAAAGCCCCCAAGGGAAGCACTGGCTGCTGATGCATCTTGTGTCACTGAGGTAGAGAAGGGCAAAAGGTGACCAAGTTACCTAGCTGGTGTTGGAGCACTGACTGACGATCTGTCTTGTGTCACTGAGGTAGAGGAGGGTTAAAGGTGGCTATGTTACCTGGCCGGTCTCCAGATACAGGTGCATGCAGCAGACAGTGACAGATCAGCCAAGAAACATGGGGCCCAAATTTAAAGAACTTTAGCATGAAAATTTGGTCTTAACATTAAGGCCAGAATTTTAAGTTTCTTTTCACCCAAAATAAAAAAGTAACAGTCCAATTAGAATATTTAGCTTGTTTTATAACAGAAAAATGGCTTATATTTCAGACCAGTGCTTTTCTTTATTTACAAATGTATATATACTGAGCTGAAGTACATCAATTTCTGGTCTAAAGGTTTAAACAAGGTTAAATTTTCTATAAAATGGGCACCAGGAGTGAGAAAGCAATATCCTGTTGTTTTTTTTACACCAAACTTATCTACACTTCACAACACATCAAATGAATGATCCAACTTATAACAGTTTGATAAATATAATAAAAAAAAAAAGAAATGAGATAAATTTTACAGTTAGCAAACATTCCATCCCTCCTCTTCCTGCCAAGGTCTTATCTCACACCACTGATTTATTTATCTTTTCATTCCTCCCCTCATTAAAAAATGTGCATTATTTCTCATTTAGATAAGCTGTTGATATGGCACAGTTGAGGGCTGGAATAAAGAAATTGTGGAGAGTATGATGACTTGGAGGGATAGAGGGCACCTGTAGCTTTATATGACTGTCATCCTGGTGATTTCTCTGCTGTGAGTCAGACATTCTGAGTAATAGATTGTATCATACTGTAATTATTCAACAAATTCAAAGTACACGGATTCATAATTTTCTCACCATAGAAATGATTTGTTAGTAATTCACAAAACTGCTGCTTCAAAAGTTTCGAAAAGTTATTTGGCTTTGTTTTAAAACTAAATAGCCATTATGAGTGTCTGAAAATTACAAATCTTCAAAGAGTAAAATTTTAGCAAAAGTTAAGTTAATCAAAATTTTACGTAATTACTGTACATCGACTGACACTGACACAGTGCATACAATCAGGACTGTTAAGTTTTTTTATTAGCTTGATATTATATGAAATAAATAAAATGTTTGCTATATACCCTTATCATGATTGTATCATATTGACACTCAATTCTACCTTAACTTTCTGTGTTTTACTGCTAAGTGAATATCCAACATTTCACATGACCTCCACCCACCGCCACCCCCCAATAAGGTGAGACAGGTTACAGTGAGTTCACAGTAATATCATCATGACAGTCATAACATCATATAAACACACAATGCTCATCAGTGCCATATGAGTCAGAGCATGCTTTTATTTCATATGACGGTCCATGTCACCGCGTAATGACCATTAAAAATAAATGTACTTGACAAAGGCTCTGTAACATGATATTATAGGGATAACTTGCGGTACTTTGTTCCTCCGGTTAATGTAGCTTTATCCCTATTTACTGCTACCCAATGAAAATATGCCATGAAGGTAAAACTCAATACAAATTTGTTTTTGCCTTAATATCAACAAATCTGACCTGGCTGTTCCCTCGAGAAGTAAAAATCTTTTGGTCCACTTTGTCGAGTAACCCCAAAGCCCTAATTTTGAATCTCAAATCACTGCAAAACAGTGAATTATGAATCTATGTTTTACATGTCTGTTAATATTAATATTAATATAATTTATGGGACATTCAAATAGACTACTTTAACCGTCTGCTTCTTTCAATCCTTTTATGCCACTGACGACAACTACTGACACACCCTTATAAAATAACATGAATATTTACCTGTTTGACACAATATAAACCATGCCCCCACCTAACTAAAAATAGAACCTTTTATTTTGATAAAAAGCTTTTGAAAGAAGACTGGATTTAATGATACCTGGGAATGTGGTACAATTGATTGTCAAAAATAACAGATTTCTTTAGAGAATATATACTTACTAGTATATAGTTATCATAGGCTCAAAACAGTAAATACAATTAAGTAAAACAAGCATACAAAAATCTATTTTTTTTCAACAAAATAGCACAATAACAAAATCAGAAATATGTTAACATATTAATCATGAACCTTTCTTTTCTAGTTTCAACATCCACAAGATCCACCCCACCCACCCCCAGGACAGGGACGTCAAATTCTGTCCACAGTGACATTCCAGCCCCACCCCTCATCCTGCCAGACCCCCTCAATCATCAAGAGTCACACGCCCTCTTAATGATAACATCTCCTTTGTGAAGGAAACATCTTTTAGCTTAAAAAAACACCTCAGGGATAATGAACACATGCTACAGGCCAGATACATATTGACCATGGCTTACTAGTTCATGCATATATGTTTTGTCTGAGTAAAGACCTCACTGTACTTTTAAAAGCAATGACAATTCAAGTCATCAAAATACTGTCAATGATTCTAAGGAAGAACTGTGAAAAATTACACAGAAATTTAACTACTTTAACAAAATTATATACACATGAATAAGGAAGAGAGCAAATCTGAGACTTAAAATACTAACGTTTTAAAATATCACAAATTCATGGATAAAGTTGACCCATATTAATTATGGTAATTCACCCAACGATTTCCTATGTACACATCTATTATGTGGCTTCAAAAAGATTTCAGCAATTTATTTTTGTGTCCTGTAATGCTGTGAGAAAACTGCAGGAGGGTGGAAGCCCCATATGTTGACATTCCACTAGTCACAACACGCCTCATTTGTATTAATGTTCCATTAATCAAACAGTAAACAAACAAATGTCATAACTCCACTGTGGATGCCAGCACACTTCCAATCCTAATGCACGTCCATTTATTATTCAAGCCTGCTCTTGATTTGTTTTGCCATTTTGTATAAATTTATCCCTTTAATAATCTTACATCACTATCAAAAGCCTAGTTACTCAAGGGTTACTGTAAATTTTTACAGCACCTCACATAAATATACAGTCAATATCTAAACGGCTGGCAGGGTTTTTACCTTCTTAATTAAGACCAAATGGGAGTTGGGGGCTAGAGAGACAAAAAGGGCGAAATCATTTTGCATGAGAAATTAAAACTGAAAACCTGTCGCAGACTGCTGCAACTAAATACATTTAAAAATCACATGCTGTTGAATACTTTGCACCAAAATAACAACAGCCATCACGTGTCAGATGGCATTTTCCACTAAATTAGCTTACTTTTTAAACAATTAAAGCTCAGACATGTTACTACTGAGCTCTTGAGGCAAATCCAATATATGGCTCTCACACAGCTACACTGTAAATGTACTAGTAAGTGATATTTTATTTTCAAATTTAGGACAAATCTATTCATTGTATTCCAGTGAGTTTTACAAAGGTGTATTGTATCCCCCCCCCCCCCCCCACAACCACCTCCAGGCTCAGATAACAAGTCACTAAATTATTGTTCTCTGTTACAAGCTATAGCATCAATGATATCAATCTCATCTAGCCAGCTAGATCAAAGACAGATTGGGGGACTCAATTACATCACCTTGCAGCAGCGTTGTACAAGTCATCAAAATGTGTTGTACATTATGAAGCAATGGAACACAAGATGGGGATATAACAGGATTTACAACTACTAGTATTGACTTCAAAACTATTCATGAATATGTAGAAAGTTCCAGGTGCAAAAATGAAAAATTCAATTTTGTTGCTTTTTCCTTTGCTCCACTTTGACTAACCTACTAGTTAATCTATTTCTGTTAATACTAAGAACTTCTATCAAGAGGAATGACCCAATTCCATCATACAGCATCTTTCTACTCTGGATGTCTTATCATAAATTTATACAACTACTGTACACTACAGCTATTAAAGTGCTCTGCATACAAGAAAACCATCCAAAAATCTGTTTACATGTTCAAGGACTGTGTGATCTATGCCATACAGCCAAGTATGCGACCTGGACCCCAACAACAGCCCCATTCACAGTGGCACACAACACTGGCCCATTGTTATCAGTACACAGAATCTCTTAATTAAGATCTACATGGAAGATAGGGGTAGACTTCAGGTAAATAACAACAGTGTGATGGGCTACTGCACACCAGGGGGTTAGACCAGGGGACAATACACCACCATTGACCCCAAACTTGAACTCGTTGTAAACTCCCTATTCATCCCCAGAATACCAAGTTGTGGAACATTTCACGGTTGTTTAGGTCTGTAAGAAATGATGGGATAAAGGAATGAATACACTGACTGGGTAGACCTTGCCTGGATGTCTGATCACAATGCTTATCTTTGCTCTGCTTTGGGTTTTATCTCTCAATTCAACAGATGGAGATAGCAGAAAGGGGTCCCTTGGAAATCTGTTTATAAATGAGCTCCTTCTTCAATACAAATACCTATAACAAAAACCCTGGAGATATTTCATAAAGGGTGACCTACTTTTTCACAATTTGAATTTTGATATAAAGCACCTACCTTGTACTGTCACTGTGACACCTGTTGGCAATGGTGTTGTCGTCAAACTGTTGGTGGCAAAGCAAGTATACAAGAAAGTCCCAGTAGAGGACAGTGTCAGCACAAGCTGAGAGCCAGTGGTGTTGGTATTATCTGGACTGGTCCACACATAGTTTGGACTTGGATTGCCGCTTGCCTGACAGTTGAGAGTAAAAGTTGTTCCCTGCTCAACTGTAAATGTACCAGTGGATGATGTCACCCTTGGCCCCTGTCGCACTGGGTCTGAAATATGCAATACATTGATAAATAAAATTAAAAAATGTGGACAGCAAAGAATTTAAATGTTCACATAATTTAAGGCTGTATTCCCAGAGCTTTTAGATCGATCTGTCCCCGCTGGGAGTCTCACTAGATTACTGTCAGATAATCCGCCTTAAATCTCCGTCCCGCCTACTACAAGCTGTAAGGGGGTAATTAACTTTCGTGTCTGCTCGGCTGACAGCTATGTAGCATGAACCCCCCAGGGAGTTAGGTCGATCTAAAGTAGATCGATCTAATCTCTGGAAATGGGGTATAAGATTCACAGTATAACAAAATGAAAATCTAACAAGACAGCGAAGATATTACAAATAATAATAAATCAAACGAAAGATGACAAATGATTTGTGTAATGTTAGCCTTTTGTGGGTAACACAGACGAAATAACAATCAAAATTTTATATATAGTCCTTACAATAACAGTTTAAAGACAAATCTTAAGACACAGTGAAATACTTACATTGTACATCCAGTGTGTACCTTCCTTCCTTTCTGGAGTCTCCAATCACTGCAGAGTTTGGGTCAACAACACACTTATACATAACTCCATCATCCTGGGATGTCGGTGAAATACTCAGAATACTAACTCCATTATAGGTACAATTATCACTATTTATACTTTTCTGCTGAGTAAATCCAGTGGTGATATCTTGGGAGTTTCTTTGCCACTTAATGGTGCCTGGTGGTCGCCCAATATTACTGGCTGTACAAGTCAGGGAGGCATTCTGGCCTGCTTGCAACCGACTTGACGAGGATGTGATTGTGACATTATTTCCCATGAAATCTAGATAAGAAATATCACTTAACCATAATAAGCAGCACTCTTGTGTAATTGAAAATCAGATTAAATTATTTTTAAAACTGTCAATATTTCTTATCATATCAAAAGAAAAATCAATCAAACAACACAACACAACATATTTCAGTACACAGATAGAAAATGATTGTTCTTGTCAAAAAATATAAAGACCATGGAATTTTAATAACGATTGTTTATGTAACTTTTACTTACTCAAAATCTTTCATGCCAAAGAATTATTTTAAAAAACATGAACTATTATACATATGTTACTTACCAAATAGATTAACATCAAAACCTGCTGTTCCAGAACTGTCTTGCAGTGCAGTAGTGAATACATCACATGCATACTCCGCTATATCACCTGGACACTGTAATCCTGTTAATGTTATTGATGTGCTGGGACTTGAGGAGGTTAGATTGCCCAGTGTTACACGGTTTTTTATTTTCGTGTCAGCATACACTGGTGTATAATTAGGTAAGATAGCACTTGCTATTACTGTAGAGCCTTGTCTCCAGTTTACTCTTAGAAGATCCTCTCCAGCTGCTAATGGCGCCCACCGACATGTCAACGTGGTTTGTGATCCTGCTTGAATATAAGTCTGTCCAGATTTTGCCACATCAAATGCATTAACTGCAAAAGTGTAAAATGCATTTTCAAAATACATTTCAATGGTATTTAACAGTGCTTCATATGACACAAATGAAAAAGACAAAAGGCGAGTTAACCATGACCCAGAAACTGGGTAGATATTAAAATTCTATGAATTGTTTTAAAAGCACTCCATCTTCAAATTCAGCTGAGAGTTAGTATTACCAAACACACTCAGGTTAAGGCTTTTAACATAATATTTTCTAATACCTTAATGAGTCACTGGCCAATGCTGGAATTCTTACTTGCTTTAAGTCATTGGACTCCTGGTAAAAACTGTCCCTGAGGTTGTGCAAGCAATTTTTTGCTTAGCCAAATCACTAATTTTTTGTCAATTTGTTATCAAAATGGTTTTAATTTGACTTAAACAAGTCAAATCAAGCCCTTTCTGTTAAGCCAATTTAAGTCAGTTTTGGCATTTGGCTAAATCGGCAAGTGTTTAACACTGTTAGCACTATTGCAGTGTCCACCTTTGCCTCATGCAAATTTCACAATATCATCACCTTATAATTTCGTAAAAACACAAAAAGTATGTCTTAACTCACTTTCCCCAAAAAAATTTTTTTTAATTTCCATACATTCTCAGATGGAACCATAGATTCAAAAATTCATTTCAACTGGGGGAGAGAGGAGGCAATGGGCAGTGATCAGTTTTTGGATCTTCTTGATACATGTACTCGTTCACCATTGGTATACATGACGCTGTTTCTTCCAAATATAAGAAACAGCCACGCTTTGATCAAAAACGGTTTATTTTCAAACAGTGAAACAATGGGCCAATCTATTAAATCGCAATCTATCATCAAGGTCTTGTAAAATATCAGATCAAAACGTAATAAACTCTCCCACTCATTGACTTAAAATTGGGTCTCTGAACAGTATCTAACAAAAACTGAAATAGGTTTATATTTAAACATCTGTCCATACCGTCCTATTACCATGATGAAGAGAAAGGGGTTGGGTCCACGACCCCATAAACAAATGACTGCGAATATAATCATTTAAGATTCAAAATACACACGCGATTACACGTTACCTGAAACGAATCAAATACTAACCTGGGTAAAAAATAACTAAAACGGCAATAAATATCTGTATGAGCTCCATTTTTCTCACATAGAATCCACAGATCAGTATGAAACTTTGAATGGAAGTAACTTGTTTCCGTTAAGTACTTATCCTAGTCGCCATATTGACCCATTCTATCCCAACATGCCTCAGCGCACCTGTCTGAGCGACAAGAAATATAATCCCAACTTTACACATATAAACCATAAAATTACTGTGTATTATAATTACTTGCAACGATAACTGATACTTAAAAAAACTACATCTCTTGGTTTAAATTGATAGTTATATCTTGGATTTATTGGTAAAGCAAATTAAAATACATCCCACTGTATCCATCCGCGTGTGTTCGTTTGAATGGTATTACATTCGCTCACC